AAATTTTAAAAACTATCAGAACCATGTTTTGGTAAGCTATATAACAATAAAATGTCTCAAACACTAGTGTGCAAGTATAAGTGTGTGCAACACTTCAGTAAATATTTTGGCATGATTTAGCAAAGTAAAAGATATCACATGATCCAGAATTCCATTGGTAGAAAGAGAAATTCATGCGTATGTACCTTATGTAAAAGAATGCTTGTGGCAGCATTGTTATAAAGTCAAACAAACAAACTAGAAGTAACTCAAATATCCATCATTAGTAGAAAGGATAATAATGCATCAAAGGAGGAAAACAATATAGCAAAGAAAAATGAACGATTATTAAACCTAATATGGAAAATTCTCAAAAACATTGTTGTACAAATAAGCAAAAGTTCATATAAAAGGACTTACCAAGCACAGCATTCATATAAAGTTTAAAAACCAAGGAAAACTACAATATAATGCTTAATGAAGTATACGTAAGTGGAAAAAACCCCTCATACATTTATAGTCACAAAAGTCACAGAACCACTATGGGAACATAAAGCTAGAGGTAACCCACAATCAAAGCAACAGGGCTGCATAACCAGGGCCTCACACGGTCACAAACATCGCATACCACAGTATTCCAGGCACCCCTACCCGCACTCTACAGCACACGGTAACACAATCACACTTCTACGGGGTCAATCGCTATAATATCCATCGAGCCAAAAGGCCCCAACACACCCTCGTGTACAAAGCCGCACATGCCCTTCCTCCCTTCAATCCCCTTTACCCCACACACACCGGGTACCGGGCAGTCCCAGGCTCCCAGACGGTGCTGCACACGGTAATTATTGGAACAGCAAGTCACAACCACAAGGTCAGTCACCACATACCACCACATACACATAATCACACAATTTGAATCTAACCTCCGCAGTACCAAGCCGAAGCTCCGGCTCTGGCCCCACCCCTCCTTTGCTTCACTTCAGGCCTTCGGAACTCCCAAAGCAGAAGCCTCCTCCACAGAACCGTAATAGTAGCAAGTGAGGAGCAGTGCCTCCCGTCCGAGCGTGACTTTGGGCTGAATTCACGCGAGATCACGTTATGCCGAGGAGTCCTCTGGGAAATGCAGTCAGGACGTACTTGAGGTGGTTGGGGTGGCTTTCTAGCTTCAGGGTTCCTGCGCGTTTGAAAGAGACTAGGTTAAGTGAACCTCTGTACTATCCAGGGTAGTTGAACAGGCTCAAAAGAGGAGGGCTGGTTTGTAAGGGAAGATTATGCGCCTAGTTACATCCAGGAGATTTCTGGGAGTGTCACTGCAGCCAAGGAGTACACAGTTTCCCGAGTCGCAGTTTTGGCCACGATCAGGTGTGACTTTTGCTTGGGGTTCTTCAGTGCAGTTGTGGAACCTAAGCATCTGAGTCCCACAGCCGGTCCGGGAGGCTGAGAAGACTCGGAAATTACAAAAAAATTGGGAAGGCTGGTGAGGAGAAACCGCTAAACGTGAAAAGGGGTGCGGGAGGCGAATGGGGAGGAGTTTCCGAAATTGCAAAAGGGGCTGGTATACTTGAGCTACTTGACTTGTGTGTGAATATCCCAGTCCGAGGATAAGGCAACGGAGAGGCAGGCTTTGCAGGAAAAAGAAAATTGACTGTGTGTAATAGGGTGTTGGGGGTCGTAGAGAGAGGGAGAAACTGGATTCAGGATTTTTGGGTGTGGGTGTGTGTGTGTAATTGTAAGTTTAAGTGAGTATCTCTGTATATATCCTTGGAATTGTATTTTGGACAGTGATCTTTGAGCCTCCTTAAGGATAGCTCTTCTTGGAGTAGTGTTTTTTTAAAAGACTTGATGGGAGAAAGGTTACACAATTGAGCTAATAAATATGATTTAAAGCTTAACTTCTATGAGAAACCAGGAGCATCTTTTATGGAATAGAAATAAAAAGTGTTGTTTCCTTTTAAAAGAAAGCAAGTTTCAAAAAGGAACTTTTGCTCTTGCTTAGAGCACAGACCCTTGAGATAGCCTTTTAGTCTTAGGGGTTCTTTTCAAGTCCTGGAGGAAGGCTATAGGTCTAAGGGATGTAAGTCTAAGGTCTACGGGAGCTGATTTGTGAAGTCCTGGACTAAGAAAGAACTTTAAAAGTTTGAAGGGTAATATCGACCATAGCACATCTAAGAGAAGTGACATGGCTTTCAGAGATCTAGGAATGTAAATTTGAGTATACTCAAGGAAACTCTTCAGATCAACTGATTTACTAATTCTCACTAGTTACCTCCAGGCCAGATGCATTTTGTTAGGTATAAAAATAATTTTTTCTTTCTAACTGCAAAGATGCTTTTTCCAAATAACTTATTGCAGTTCCTTTTGTTTTAAAATTTATTTTAGAGAGAGGGAGAAACATTGATTTGTTGTTCCACTTATTCAATGATTGGTTTTTATACATAACCTAGTAGGGGATAAACCCCACAACCTTGGCCTGTTGCAAGAACACTAACCAACTGAGCTACCTAGTCACTGGCTAATGTAATTTTAAATAAAGGGGTGAAGTAAAGTAGTGGGTATAAAATCGTGTAAATAAACAATATATACAAAAAAAACCCTTGCAATAGGATTAAATGCTTAAAATAATTTTAGCAATAAAAGTTTAAAACACTACTGAAAGGCCAAAAAAAAAAAAGCCTTACTTAGTAAAAAAAATTATATACTATATCCTTGAAAAAAATCCTTGAAATAAACATCATTTTAATTCATAAATTCATAAATTAATTTAACATTATCCCATTTAAAAATAATATATTTTTCTAAATAAGGGATTTTCTAAAGTTCAAATGGAAAAAGTAAAGGTTAGAACAGATAGTATATCTGGAAGAAAAATGCAGTATGGGGCAGTTGGGGCTAGTCTTACCAGATTACAAACTACCCTTAAACTTCAAAAACTGAAATATAGGGCTCATCTGACTAGATAGACCAGTGGTACACAAGAGAGAATCCAAAAATGGAACCAAATAAAGGATTTTAGTGTATGGGGAATGAGGCATTTCACATCAATTGGGAAAGATGGAATTTTCAAGAAAGGTACTTAGGTACAATTTGATAGCCTTTCTGGAGAATGAGAATGGAATATTAGTGCCCTTGTCTTACTTTGGTATCAAAGTAATGCTGACCTTGTAAAATGTTAGGACGAGTTCACATCTCTTTTACATTTTAGAAGAATTTGAGAAGGATAAATGTTGACACTTCTTTAAATGTTTAATATAATTGAGCAACAAAGCCATCTGGTCCAGACATTTCTTTGTTGGGAGGTTTGATCACTGCTTCAGTTTTCTTGCTAGTTATAGGTCTGCTCAGAATTTCTATTCGTGATTTAGTTTTGGTAAGTTGTGTGTTTCTAGGAATTTATGTTTCATATAGGTTATCCATTTGTTGGTGTACAATTGTTCATAGTATTCTCTAGTAATCCTTTTATGTCTCTAAAATTGGTAGTGATGTCCCCACTTTAAATTTCAGTTTTACTAATTTGACTCTGATTTTCTTAGTCAATGTTATCAATTTTTTTCAAATAACTTTCATTGATCAAATTGTTTTTCTAATGTTTTATTTATCTCTGCTCCAATTCTTATTTTCTTCTCTTTTATAGTTAAGGGTTTAGTTTCCTCCTATTTTTCTAATTTCTTAGGCTATAAGTTGTTGATTCAAGTTCTATGTGTTTAAACTTTATACTTTATTGTCAGCACTGCTTTTGCTGCATCCCATAAGTTTTGATATGGTCAGTTTTCATTTGTTTCACAATACTTTTAAAATGTTCTTGGTCATTTCCTCTTTGGCCCCTTGTTTAACAGTGTGATGTTTATGGACAACAACTAAGGGGGGTGGAAATGGGAGGGAGGTGGGGGGCATGGGGGGGTCTGGGATGGGAGTAAAAGACAGAATACTGTAGCTGAAAAATAAATAAATAAATAAATAGAATCATATAATTTGAAATAATGGTAAGTTTCTTCCTAAAATATCTGGGCAACAAAAGTAAGGGGAAGGAAAAAGTCTGAGTATGACATCAAAAATGCTGCTCAAATATTTCTTATTACAACTACTATATAGGTTTAAGAACTGAAAAATTTTTAAAAAAGTGTGACGTTTAATTTCTACTTACTTGGAATTTTCTACTTCTGTTACCGATGTCTAGTTTTATTCAATTATATATAATTTGAAAGTACATTTTGTATTACTCAACCATTTAAAATTTATTAAGACTTGTTTTGTTATTTTTTAAAGATTTTATTTATTTTCAGAAAGAAGGGAAGGGAGGGAAAAAAAGGAAAGAAACATCAATGTGTGGTTGCCTCTCAAATGCCGCCCAATGGGGACCTGGCCCAGAACTGAGGCATGTACTCTGACTGGAATCAAACTGGCGATCCTTTGGTTCAAAGGCTGTCACTTAATCCACTGAGCCACACAAGCTATGGCCAGATGTATATTTCTTACTGTTGTGGAAGCTGCAAAGTCCCAAGATCAAACTGCTGGCAAATTTGGTCCCTGGTGAAGGTCCACATGGCCTTTCCTTGGTACATACACATGAAGAGATGTCTCTTTCTCTCTCCTTACTGTTCCCATCATGAATGTCCTACCCTCTTAACCTAATGTAAATCCAGTTACCTTCATAGGCCACACCTCCAAATACCATCACACTGGGAATTAGGGCTTCAACATAAACTCTGGGAGATGGAGACGTTCAGTCCATAATAGGAATTTCTCTTATTCAAATATTAAACCTTTCTTAATGTAATAGTATTAAACAGAGATGGGCTTCAAATTACTTTGTTCAGAATCCGTATCCTGAAGGACATTATTATAATTTGAATAAATGCAAAGGCAAACTTTGGGGGCATAATGACAGTATCATAAATGTCACTTCTCCCAAAATATATGTATAAATTTAATGCAATATCAATTAGAATACCCAAGGGCTTTTGTAATTTGAGAAAACTACCTTCATTTACGTAGAAATAAAATTAAGAGTAGCAATTAAAATTGAAAGCAAGGGGGACTTACTATGCAATATCAAAATACTACAATAAGGATAATGTTAAACTGATGTGGTATTAACATAGAACAGAAAAATGATTAGTGAAACAAGATAATGTAGAAATGTCTTGGTATAAATGAAAATACAAGGTAAGTTTTAGCTGAATGAGGAAAAGAACATGTGGGTAAATGACTTACATAGCAGTTTCCACTGAATAGGGAAAGGATGCTCTCAGTAAAGGGGTAAGAACAGGTCTTTTGTTCTAGCCCCTAGCCAGGTAACTTACTTAGAGTGTCATCCCTATAAGCCAGGGTTGTGGGTTCCATCCTGGGTCACAGCACATGCAGGAGTCAACCAATAAGTGCATAGATAAGTGAAATAACAAATTGATATTTCTCCTCCACCCACTTCCCCACCTCTAAAATAATTTAAAAAAAAAATGTTCCCACTGACCCATGTATGAAAAGATGACCTTACAGTTACCTTTCTATCACAGCTTCCTTGGAGAAAATTATGTTGTAAATCCCTCATTTGTAGCCTTTTCCTGGATGTGGAGAGCTGTGAACCGGCACATATACAGCCATGTGATTAAGGCATTATGTCTTGGGGAAACTAAGATAGTAGAGTGGCTTCCCTGTACCTTAGATATCAGTCTTACAACTGAGTGTGCCCCATGTGACAGTGGCACACCATGAATATGCACTGGTGGATTATTGTAAAATGTCCTGAATTGAGAATATTGTTTCCCAGTACTGAAGTCCCAGAAGCTGTGCTTGCTTGGAGCAGTTGCAGAACTAACAAACATATTGTGAAGGTGTTGTGAGCATATTGAGAGCATATTGTGAAGGTGTTTTCTAGTCAGGACAAACCTGCCAATAAAATTCAGGGTTAATGCCTATTCTATTTGATTGACACTTCGAATCTGTGATTGCTGCTAGTATCAAGAGCTGTATGACTGGATGTTGAACATATAAATTATTTTAATGAATTGTACTTGTATAACAGGAACCCATCTGGAAGAAAATAACCATGAACCTCATTTTATATGACATATAAAATGTCATTTTTATATTTCACATAGATTAAATTTCACATAGATTTCCATATTGAGAAAACCAATAAAGAGCTTTCAAGGCAACCTAAGAAATATGTACAATCTAGAGATTAAAAATATTTTCCTAATTCATGAGCTTAAAAATGCATATTTGGTTACATAAAAATTTTAAATATCTTAATGGAAAAGTCATTTTTATAACAAACAATTAGACAAGTTCCTAATATTTAATATATGAAGAAGTCTTCAAAATTAACAAGATAGATAAAATATAGGGAAGTGGGTTAACAGTATCAAAATTTATAAAGAAGCAAATCTAGGAGGTAAGGTTTATACTCATCAGACAAGCATGAATTTGAATACTTTAATACCAAACACTGCAGGGCTAGATGTCTTTATTTTAAATTTATTAGGGTGACATTGGTTAATAAAATTATGTTTCAAATGTACAATTCTTTGATACATGATCTATATATTGCATTGTGTGCCCACCATCCAAAGTCAAATCTTCAATCCCCATATATTTGGCTCCCTTTACCCTTAACTACCCACCACTCCATCCTCCTAGGTTGGAGTTTCTGTTGTACAAGCACCTCTGGTAACCATCATACAGTTGTCTGACTTATTTGTTTCTTTCAGTTTTATGTCCTATCTATGAGTGAAATCATATGGCTCTTGACTTTTTCTGATTTATTTTGCTTAGCAGATATTCTCAAGATCCACCCATGTTGTCACAAATGGCAATATTTCATCTTGTCTTATGACCGAGTAGTATTCCATTGCATATGTTTATACTCTTTTCTGGTCTTTTAAAAATTGACTGATGGTATGTATTAAAATTTTAAAATAGCATATATCCTTTGATATGTCTTCCAATCTCTTGCCTATATTCTATTCACCAGCAATCAAAATAAGTAAAATGTAAAGGCCAATTACAAGGGTAGTTACTGTACTGTAGCTTGTGGTGGCAATAATTAGCAACAAGATTAATTAATATGGAGATGGCTGAATAAATTTACAGTACATAACATCACAGACACTGTGCAGCAATTTCTCATCTTACTTTACCTGACCATTATAATTATTCCTGTTGCCGCAACTTAGCACTGGCCACTTATAGGCAGCAAAATGTAGTCTTCCTAGTTTGGCCTGACTTCAGTTCCTAGTTCTTTTGGTGACTTCACAGGTATATAAGCACAAGGGAAGGGCACTTAAGGATTATGAGAGAATTTTTACTGAAGAATGAAATAGAAGAAAACTAGATTCATGCTGATATACGTGTATGTTGTTTGGGTACATTACCTCAGAAAATCAACCACTGGTATTTATAATCTTATCGCAAGACTAACACTCAAAAATGCTAAAAACAAGCAGTGTGGTGCTATGGTTATATTAGCACTTTATTATTTTGAGTTTAAAAAATTCATACATCTGAAATCAATCTGAGGTTTAAATGTTGTATAGTCATTTTTAACACTATTTAAAAACAGCACTAACAGCTTTCTACATGTCAAGTTGTGAAAAGAGACCAAGTATCCCTTTCAAAAATCCTTTAAAAAAGCTTTGCTCCAAATAAAATAACTATTTAAGTCCATGTCTCTTTTCAGCACTTTTTTCTCTTAAAAAAAAAAAAATGAGGTGGGGGTGGCACTGATTATGTCCAGCAGAATAGAGAAAACCAAACAATCTGAGGTTAAAATTGAGGCTAAAATGCAAGAGTGGATATTTTTACTCAGTGGCATATTAAAAATTTTGCATAACATGGTTTCCTCATTTTGAAGTCTACTTTTCATTGCCAATACTGGTTATATGGGGTATTAAAACTCTGATAAATGTTTCAGTGAAAATGAATTCTTTCTACCAGGTCTGTGCATGTATTCTTAAATGTGATCCTTAAATGCATGTGATTCAGCCAATCTGTTGCAAAATCATGCTGTAACTTCTGAATAGAAACTACACAGTGATGTGATATGTGAGTAAATAATTGGAACTGTTAAGCTTCCATCACAAATTTTTCATATTTTAAATAATTTTAGAAATATTTTAAATAAAATATTAGCATCTGAGAATGTGAGTCCATTTAAACATGTACTTCATGTACATCTTCCCTACACTTATCTTTTTAATTTGCAGAAGTTCAAAGGAAATAGCACAGAAATAAATTAAAACAAACATATTGACACAACCTAGAATTAACTAACATTTTGTTAGGGTTACCTGAATTTTTTATTTATTTTTTAATAAGAGATATTTAGATACAAAACTGAAATATTCTTTAACTACCATACTTGGTCCCATTTCCCATCCCCTCCTTTCTTTCTGGAGGCAACCACTTTTGGAACTGAATGTGTATCCTTCCAACGCATTCTTCAGTTTTACATAAAAATGTTCATCTATAACCACTGCTTATTACTGGTGTTGATTACTGGTGATCTCATTCAAATTCACATAGGCATCATTATAATATGTTCATCACTTTCATTATTCTTCACTCTGCATTTTTCAGATTATTTATTTATTTATTTATTTATAGAGAGAGGGGAAGGAGAAAGAGTGGGAGAGAAATATCCATGTGTGGTTGCCTCTCATGTGTCCCCCACTGGGTACCTGTCCTGCAACCCGAGCATGTGCCCTGATTGGGAATTGAACCGGCAACCCTTTGCTTCACAGGCCTGTGCTCAACCCACTGACCTACACCAGCCAGGCAGATTTTTTCTTGTTAATAGGTATATATTTAACTTGTATTTAACTACTAGAGAATATTCTACTGTATATTTTATTCAACCATTTCACAAGAGACAGATGTTTCCAGTATTTTGCTAATATAGTTCATGCTGCAATGAACATGAAGGTATATGATTTCCTGGGTACATGTATCAGTTTCTTGGGTATATGTAAATATACTCAAAAGGAGTATTCTGGAATCAGTTTTAGAAGTTCTTTCCTACTCCAAGGCTTAAAAACATTCTTCTATAAAATTCTCATATTACTGTTTTGCATTCTAGTCTTCAATATTATTTGGGTTCATAATAAGTAAATATTTTAATATATGATGACAGCAAATAGTTTTCCATATGAAGAGTCAATTACACTGAGGCCATTTTTGACTCATGCATGACTTCCTTACCAACTTGTGATACCACATCTGTCAATGACCAATTCCTCATAAAGGCATGCATATGATACAACCTGTTTTTCATGGCTGAATCAAGAACAAATAACTGGTGATTATGCATATAGCAAAACATATAACATGAATGACAGTTTTTTCTCTTAATTATAAATCTTTATACCTCTCATGTTTTTGTCTTAATGCATCAGGCAGGCCTTCCAGAACCATGTTGATTAGTGTCCATAACTGGATCCTCACTTCAATGAGAATGCTCCGAAGAAGCACAGCATAAAAAATGTTTGTTGTGGGGGCTCTGGAGGTATATGTTTCCATAACATCATACTTTTTATTTAAAATCTCAGTATTTTAAGTTTGAATTGCTGAAGGATTTTTCACATTCATGTCACTATAATAAGATGGATTTTCTAATATGCTATAAAGTATGAATTCTATTGAAGGTTTTCCTAAATTCAAGACATTCATAGAGCTTTAATGAGTATGAATTCTCTGGTGTCTAATGTGATGTGACTTCTGGCTGAAAGCTTTCCCACATTCACTACACTGATAAGGCTTTTCTCCAGTATGGATTCTCATATGTAGAGCAAGAGTTGAGAACTGAGAGAAGGCTTTCCCACATTCATTACAACCATAGGGCTTCTCACCTGTATGACTTCTCATATGCACAGTAAGAGATGAGCTTTGACAGAAGGCTTTCCCACATATTTTACATTCATAAGGTTTATCACCTGTATGAATTCTCACATGTACTATAAGTGATGTAATTCTAGAGAAGGCTTTTCCACATTTATTACATTCATAGGGTTTCTCTCCAGTATGAATGTTGTGATGTTTAATGAGGTATTGCTTCTGCCTAAAGATTGTTCCACATTCATTACATTTATACGGTTTCTCTCCAATATGAATTTTCTCATGCTCAGTGAGATTTGATTTGCCACTGAAGGCTTTCCCACATTCCTTACATACATAGGGTTTCTCTCCTGTATGACTTCTCTGGTGTCTAATGAGGCTTGACTTCTGAATGAAAGCTTTCCCACACCCTTTGCATTCATAAGGTTTCTCTCCAGTATGTATTCTTTGATGGATAATGAGGTTTTCCTTCTGGCTAAAGGGTTTTCCACACTCATTACATTTAAAGGGTTTCTTTCCACTATGAATATTCTGATGTTTAATGAGGTATTGCTTCTGGCTGAAGGCTCTTCCACATTGATTACATTCAAATGGTTTCTCCCCCATATGAATTTTCTCATGCTCAGTGAGAGATGATTTGCCATCAAAGGCTTTCCCACATTCCTTGCATGTATACAATTTGTTTCCAGGATGATTTCTCTGGTGCCTCATAAGACTTGGCATCTGAATAGAAGCTCTCTCACATTCATAAGGTTTCTCTTCAGTATGACATTTCTGATGAGAATGGAAGTTTCCCTTCTGGATAAAGGCCTTTTCACATTTACTACATTTATATGGTTTCTTTCCTGTGTGACTTCTCAAATGTAGACCAAGAGATGCGACTCGAGAGAATACTTTACCACATTCATTACATTCATGTGATTTCTCTCCTGTATGCATTTTCTTTTGCTCAATGAAGTTTTGCTTCAGACTAAAGGTTTTTCCACATTCATTACATTCATAAGTTTTCTCTCTAGTATGAATTTGATTATGCTGAAGGATATCTGATTCAGTCTGAAGGCTCTCCAACATTGTTATCCTGCAGATACTTTCTCCAATAAGATTTCTTTAGTCTTGACGTGTCACATAGATGAAAGCTTTTCTACATTCACTAAATTCACATGGTTTTCCTCAATATCATTTCTTAGGTATCTCGTGAAGCTGAATTTACAATGGAAATCTCTTCACATTGATTATCCTGAGATTAGGTTATTACAAAACAATGAAATATAGCATTCTCATTACATTCTTAATGATTTTTTCTTAGCTTCTCTCACATTTAAGTATAAATTATGTTACAAACTCTTTTAAATTGAGTCTCATACATATAGGTGTAGTCTTAAGAATCAATGTTTGTGATCAGATGAAATACTTTTGTTTCCTAGGTTCTCTGAGTTTTTCCTTAGCTTTCATGAAGAAGGATGAGACTTTATGTATTTCATGATGTAGCATTATAAATTTCTCAGGTATTTTCTAAAAGGGAGTACAAAAAATCATCATTGAAGAGTTAATAACTGTAAAATATTTAGTGCCTGGCATGTAATAAATATCCAATAAAGCAGCTATCATCAAAATCCATAACATTTGTGAATTGTTCCACTATTATTAACAAAAATTTTTAAATATGCTATTATAAATAAATGATTTCAAACCTACCCTACCAGTATAAAAAAGAAAGCTCAAATACAAACATCATTCATGGGTGCATGTAGCTTAAACTACTTATAACATAATCTTACACATTTCATAACTTAGTAAAATAAAAGAAAACATCTTTATGTGGCAGATGACAGGAAGAAAGAACAAACATAAAATTGGGAGAGCCTAGCATGAAGGGATAAAAATGAAATGAACAGAAGTATTATTAAAGAGGATGTGAGGTTAAATAAGATACAACCATGCCCTATGGTTAACAATGGACTGTGTATATGACAGTAGTCCTATAGGTCATTGGTCTGTAACCTTTTTGACACCAGGGACTGGTTTCATGGAAGACAATTTTTCCACACTGGGGTGACTCAAGGGCATTACATTCAAGCTCACCTCCTGTGCAGACAGGTTCCTAACAGGCCAGGACTGGTACCAGTCCATTAGCCTGGAGGTTGGAGACCCCTGGTTATATAGTATAACCAGGTTATATAATATAGGTTACATGACATATATAACCAGTGTGTAAAAGGCTATAACATCTAGGTTTGTGTAAGTACACTTTATGGTGTCTGTACAATGATAAAATCACCTGAAGCATTTCTCAAAATGTATCTCTATTGGTAAGTAGTGTATGACTGTATTTATTTCTACCTCTTCCCTGTACTCCATTAAAATGATAATAAGGGTGTGAAAGGAAACACATACTCATAGTAACTAAAAGGTTGAGGAATAATCACTGGATGAAAAGTATTAAGAAATTCTGAAAGGAAGACAAATAAAGGACTATAAATTAACTGCAGAACTCAGTGGCTCAAATAAATGCCAGCAAATGAAGACGACATCTAAAATTAAGGATATTTAGTTCTGCTGGAGTGTCTCACTTGGTTAGAGCATGTCCCATGCACTGAAAAATAAACTTGCAGGTTTGATGCCTAGTCAGAGCACATACCTAGATTGTGGGTTCAATCCCTAATAGGGGTGTGCATGGGAGGCAACCGACTGACATTTCTCTCTCACATTGATGTTTCTCTCTCTCAAAATCAATTAAGATATCCTCAGGTGAGGATTAAAAATAATATATAAATAAAGGTAATTTGTAATACAGCTGTCAATAGAAAGGCTCCATAACTAGAGAAACTGGGTGAGACTGAAAGGTAAGGCTTAAATAAATTAATTATAAAAAGAGCAGCTGATATGCCCAACTCTCCTAGCTGTAAGGAAGTAGGAATTTATTATCCAGACAAAGTACAATAAAGTCTCCAAATTCAGTAATGACAGGCAAAGTAGATGAGAAAGAAAAGAAATGGATGAGTTCCGCCAAGATGGAGACTTAGCTGGAGGAACGACCTCGCCTCTGTGCACAACCAAATCTAAGAACAACTATTTTTAACAGCAGTCACAACCAAACCACACGAAAAATCGACAATACGGAGTCCAAAGGACAACTAGATACTCAGCTGGACCGGTAGGAGGAGCGAGGCCAGCAGCGGAACAGGTTAGCAAGAAAAAATTCCCGGGGCGGTGCGCGGTGCGCGCAGGCGGCAACCGAGGGCGCTGACCGCGAGCGAGCTGGCTGCCGGAGCGCACAGGGAAGAGACACAGCGGTCGGTCGGTCGCGCGCATTTACCTGCGGAGAAGCCAGTGAGAAGGGAAGCCGGCGCAGGGCAGCAGTCTTGCACAATTCCGATCGGATAAACCCCAGGCGTGCGGAGTGACTGGATGCCCTGGGCTAGCGGAGGGGACCGCCATTGCTCCCTCTCTGACCCCGCCCCCACACACAGCGTCACAAACCAGCGACCTGGGTCTCCCCGTCCTGGTAAACAACTAAGGCTTCGCTCCGCTCACTTAACAGCACGAATAGACCAAAAATGGCTCTAGGACAACTCAGAGCCCCAGAACCGATAGACCTAAGTGATGAAGAAATAGCCAGTCTTTCAGATGCACAGTTCAAAACACTGGTTATCAGGATCCTTACAGAACTGGTTGATTTTAGTCACAAATTAGAGAAACATATGGAAGCTAAACTAATTGAAATGAATGGTGATAAAAAGAATACCAATAGTAATGGAAAGAAAATTGGGACTCAAATCAAGGGAGTGGACCAGAAGGAAGAAAAAAATGATCAAACAGAAAGGAATGAAGAAATAAGAATTCAGAAAAATGAGGAGAAGATTAGGAACCTCCAGGACATCTTTAAACGTTCCAACATTCGAATTATAGGGGTACCAGAAGGGGAAGAGGAACAGCCACCAGTGGAAAACTTATTTGAACAAATAATAAAGGAGAATTTCCCCAAGCTGGCAAAGGAAATAGACTTCCAAGAAATCCAGGAAGCTCAGAGAGTCCCAAAGAAGTTGGACCCAAGAAGGAACACACCAAGGCACATCATAATTACATTAGCCAAGATTAAAATGAAGGAGAGAATCCTAGAGGCAGCAAGAGCTAAGGGGACAGTCACCTACAAAGGAGTTCCCATCAGACTGTCAGCTGATTTCTCAAAAGAGACCTTACAGGCAAGAAGGGGCTGGAAAGAGGTATTCCAAGTCATGAATCTACAAAGATCTACCAAAGATCTACAACCAAGATTGCTCTACCCAGCAAAACTTTCATTTAGAATGGAAGGACAGATAAAGTGCTTCTCAGATAAGACCAAATTCAAGGAGTTCATCATCACCAAGCCCTTATTATATGAAATGTTAAAGGGACTTACCTAAGAAAAAGAAGATAAAAAAGATGAACAGTGAAAGGACAGCAAACTCACAGTTAGTAAGAACCACACCTAAAACAAAAGCAAACTAAGAGGACAGCTAGATCAGGAGCAGAACCATAGAAATGAAGATCTCATGGAGGGGTAGCAACAGGGGAGTGGGAGGAGGGGAAGGGGGGGAGAAGGTACCGAAAATAAGTAGCATAGACAGTAGACAGAAAATAGATAGGGGGGAGGGTAAGAATAGTAGGGGAAATACAGAATCTAAAGAATTTGAGACACGTGTTCATGAACTAAAGGGGGAAATGGTGGGGGAGGGGTATGCAGGGTGGAGGGGAATGGAGGGGGGAATAGAGCACATGTAATGGCATAATCAATAAAAAAAGTTTAAAAAAAAAAAAAAAGAAAAGAAATGGATGAGTAAAAGTTTAAATATAGAATAGGGTCCCAACCCCTTTTTACTGCTAAACTTCAGAAGTGCTGATGGTTCCCAAGTGTCATGTGACAGAAAGGTTCTTTTCTGAAAAAAAAAAAAAAAAAAAAGATTTTGAGAATACCTACAGATATCGACATTTGGAGTTATAAAAAGGAAACACCTAAATATCTTAATGCTGTACACTGATACCCACCTTTTCACAAGTGCTACCCATGCAAACAGAGATTACAATAATCTTTCTAGTGCTAGTGTTCATATTAATGTAGAGCTGAAGATCACAAAAATTGATGAAAGCCCTAACATAAAAGGTAGATCAAAACAAAAAGGGGAAAAAACGAGACAAGAAACAGGATTCTGGAGGATCATGGCGAGGCACTTGTGAGCGTAGCTCAGTTCCCTGTGCCCAGTTGAAACACCTAGCTGATATTCTGAAGAACAAAGTGAACAGCCAATGGAATCCCAGCTTAAAGGAAGTTTGGAGGCCAAAAATTGCAGAAGACATTGAAAAACAGACAGGAGATTGCGCTGGAATGATAAGGTCCCTGGGATCTGTATGGGGATGGAGGCTGCTGCAGCCTCCAGCCTGCTGCCTGCTGCAGGACACAGGGAGGACAATTAGATCACTAGCTCCCTCCCCTACCAGAGCAGGGAGGGCACCTGGGTACCAGGAGGGACCTGGATGCTGGAAGTTGCTGGGAGGAGTAGAGACGAAGTGAGAGACACACAGAGGTCGTACACATCTGATGGGACTGTGGACGCCGGTACCAGAAAAATTGAAGTGGCAGGTGACACCTGGAGAAGGGAGGAGTTGGACCGTGCCCAATGTTGACATGGATAGTCTCCAGACTGATTGGAAAGTTGGGCAGTGTGAAAAGCCCTGTGCTTGTTAAGAAGGGCAGGCAGCTGCTTTCTAAGGAACTCTGGAGCAGCAGCTGACTCACCCCAAGGGTGGTTTGAGCTTGCGATATTTGCCCAGAGGCCGATTGGAGGCCTGTGCCTAAACTGAGTGGCTGAGTCAAACAGTGTGCTGAGATTGACTCGCTGTGCGCACAGAGACTGAATGGCTAATTTTAGCCTGGCAGCTCATGGATGACTTTGGCCGGTGGCCAGGAAACTATAAATATTGTGGCCCAAATCTGGTCCCCATCCTCTCAAAACCATAGGAAGAAAGAAAAGTGCAGCCCAGCCACCATCTTCTGTGGCATCTAGGAAGAGCAGCAGAACTGGTTGAATAGGTTTAAAGTCAGCGGGAGGCTTATTATTATTTTTTCTTTCTCTTTTGTTCCTCTCCCCCTTTTTTCCCTTTTTTCCCTCTTAAGTGAGATAATAAGACATGGTGTTACAAAGGGTCCAGAGACCAACTGAAAGAGGGAGCGCAAAGACGAAGGCATAGGTCGAAGCACTGTGCCTCCTCCCACAACCAAGTTTAAAAACAACAAAGATTTAGCAACAAAAACGCAGCCAAAACCACAGAAAATTGAACTTCACGGAAGTCTGACAACAACGAACCCTTCAGCCAAACCGGTAAGAGGGGCAGAGCCAGCAACAGAGTGGAGTTGGGCAGGAAAGATCCACCAGACCTACACGGGCCTGCGACCCAGGCAGCCGTAGGCGGATCCCAGGTGTGGAGAAGCAGGCGGACTCACTGAGGCGCAAGGCCGCGGACTCACTGAGGGCTGA